GCAGTGTATTATTTGTTGAAACTGTACTTTTGATTTGATTTGAAACTGTCTCATTGCTATATGTTTATCAATAAAACTTTGAAAAGAAAAAAAAAAGATGTGATATTTTAATACAGTGGAGTACTTTGCAGCTGTAAAGAAAGATAAGCTCAAAGCTTTTATAGGTAAATGGATACAACTAGAGACCATACTCATATTTGAAGATTTTTTTGAGATCAAGATCTATCTTCCATATCAGCATACTCCGAGTTTCTTACAATATCTTGGAAATAAGTCTAATTGTATCTGTCCCATACAATTTTATGATTGTCAATACAAAGTAAAATTTGTATTTTTGATGAAAACATGTTCATAGTAATGTTACACGGGATCTAGAGAAAATGGTGACTGCAATCTAGCACCCTGTTCTTGTAGCAGGGTTTTTTAATTTTCAGGTTTTTTTTTTACCTTCTTACATTTTATTTATTTATAAGTACATGCTTGCAGTATTAAATGGACTACTTAACACATGTTGATTCTTTTTATTTCCCTGTTTATCTCTAGACCCCCCTTTGCCAGTTGTCTTCTTCTCTTCTTCCTCCTCCGTCTACTCTTCCTCCTCTCCTTCCCCTCCTCCTCCCCCTTCTTCTCCCTCTCCTCCCTCTTCTCTTCCCTCTTCCTCGTCCCCCTCTTTTTATTTTATTTTATTTTATTTTATTTTTTGCTTATTTTTTTCTTAGTTCATGTTTGCAACGTATAATGATTGCATTCACTGGGCATTTGGTTCGTGTACATGATATACCTTGAATCTAATTTACAGTATTTAATTTGTATCCAAAATATTATTTTGAAAGGTCAAAGAGCTCATTTTTCTAATCAAAGCAAAGTGGTACCAAGTGATGTGTACTCCTTTGCGAGAGCAGACAGCAGTTCTTAGAGCAGAACAGGTGGCGTGACTGAAGTTCTCAATTTCTCACTGGGAAATCAGCTCCTGGCGAACAAGAAATTGAACAATGCTCACTTCTTTGGTCCTTAGCTTTTTGTACCCTTGATGAAAAAACAGTCAAAACGCATAGGCAGCTGTGCAGAAACATTTGATACAGGGCTGGGGAGATATAGCTCAGCAGCATAAGTGCCCGCCTGGCAAACACAAGGTTCCAAGTTCAATTTCCAGTACCACACAAGCACACACAAAAATCCTCTTATGCTACCTTGCAGAAGTATTTGATACAGTGTTATGCCTTCAAGGGCAAAGGCAGGATCTGCATTCAGTGCTCCTTTGGGCATATTTTTATTCCCAGGAACATTACTTTGGGGGCCTGGGGACCTGGGGCCCTAGGGTTAGTATGATGATTATTAACATTGTATTTAAAAGTTGCTTTGGAGTTGCAAAATGCCTCCCTTCCCTTTCAGGTGGTCATTGTTTCCTCAGGAGCTCTAATCATGTAAGGAACTCATAAAAGATGAATTGTTAATTTAGACCAGGTCTCAGCCCAAGGCAGGAGGTTCTTTACTTTTGCTTTTTTGATGTCAGTGATCTGTAGGCTATGGCAGCCAGGAATTCAGTGTGTGCCATGTTCTGGAGTTAGCCAGCCAGGTGTTAAGAAGACCTGTGCACAGTGTCATGAAACTGTTATTGATCTAGATGAGATTGCTTTGGGTCTGAGACTTAATAGGTGGTTATAAATCTGTTACAGACTGACGTCTGTGTTCTTTAATGCTGTTTTGGACCCACTCTGGCTGTCCTTTGGGCCTGCTCTTATCTAACTACCTGCCTAACATAACCCCCAAGTGAAGTTTGATACCTGTATCAATGTACAGCATCCTCATATTTGTTTTCATTATTGCTAACCTATGATAAGACTTCTCTTTCTACATTGATTTTCCTCTGTGTAGATTCAGGCAAAATTTAATACCCTAAGGCCGACAGTAGGGTGGGAAACAATAATTTGTTTAATCAGTCTCTCCTAAATAATCAAGATATTATAATATCATGTGTGATACATCTGAATGAGTAGGATTTTTTTTCATTAGAACAAGACTTAATTTTATCTAACAAAAAGAGTGTACAGTCTAATTGACTTTGAGATCAATATATTTTGGGAAGGACATTAATTCCTGTTCTCCATTGAATTCTGTAATAACTTATTGCCAAAATTTCTAACCGATGTGATCTGAAATAAAAAAGTTTGCCTTCTTAAATTCTTACAGGGATAGTGCACCATTGTTATTTTTTAGTTCTGTCTCTGAGGTCTATAAATATCAACTATAGGCTTCCCTAGGACTATCCCTCATTCTCCTTATACTGACATGAAACTTAGTTCTAGCCATGCTTTGACTTTGATCCTTGGCTAATGACTCAAGCCTTAAATCTCTTGGTATTGCAGATTGTTTATTTCTAGAAATTGCCTTGTAATATTTTGAACCACATTTGGCCATGGTAAGTGAAACCGTAGAAGTAAAATCACAGATTAGAGGGAACCACTGTCTCCTATACAAATTGTCTAGTTTATGTTAATTAAATCTTTAACAGTGTAGTCGAGTTTGCCAGTTGTGGTGGACCTGTCACTTCTCCAGAAACACACCTTCAAAATTGGAACAGCCTCTTTCATGTTTTCTGGTAAATATCTGTACTTAGACATTGGTAAATAAAACTGCTGATTACTTCATTGAAATTGTTGTTGCTTATCATTCTGAAATTTTCACGTTTCTGTTGTAGAAATGTTTAAGCCTTGGGCTGGGGAGATAGCTCAGTAGGATAAGTGCTTCCCTGGCAAGCGCAAGGGTCTGAGTTCAATCCCCGGTTCCCCGAGAAAAAAAAAAAAAAAAAAAAGAAATGTTTAAACCTTGTCTCTGTTTTTCTCTCCTAGAAAGTGATCTTTTTAACAACATTAAACTTCATGAACATGAAGAATTTTGACAGTTTCAAGACTTAATGCCATACCACTACTCCAGCAAATTTGTGCTACAACTGGTAACAATGACCAGAAGCCTGAAGAATTAAAATGCCAACACCAAATCTTACCTTAACAGCTCTGGTCTATACTGTTTGTGTGTTTTTAATATGTTACTTTGTTTTATAACCACTTCTAAATATTCTTGGTTCTCTCCCCCACCCCATTAAGGGATTTTATTTTTGTTTTCTATTTACTTTGTGTACAACTACCTGCTTTTTATAACTTGTTTGCTTATATGACAGTGAACAAAGCCAGTGTGGGCTGGTAAGGTGCTGTTCACTCGAACAGGTGCTGTTGTGCAGAAGGGAAGCTCTGTGACTAGGTTAGGTGGTGGTTTCCTCCTTCCAGATTCTTCCCATTGAATTCTTACAGTAAATATTTACAGAGTTTTCAGATTGCAGTGAATATACTGTCTGAGAAAATATTAATACCAATTAAAAGCATTTCTTACATCTTGAAAATTTTCTAATGTTTTGAGAATTTCACTGGAGTGTTTTTTGCATTGAACCCCTTTGACTTTCCAGTCTTGTGGCTTTGTACTTCGACTGGAGAATTACAAAGCTCACTGACCACGCGTTGTGTCCAGAGACCCTGTGGCGCTACAGTGCCAGTGCTTCTCAAACACATGCTCTCTGATAGCATCCAGAGCAGGAGTGAGAAGAGAGGCAGCCATTCCTTCCTTCCTACTAAAAGAGCCAGGCAGCTTAGAACCTTAGTGCTTTTTCTCTTAACATTTCCCAGTTCCAGTTCTTTCCATTATCTGAACACATGGGTAAAGCCTTGCTTTTTATTAAACTTCTTGCCTATATGTAAAACTCACCTTGTGTTATTGAGCGGATATATCTCTTTCAAACAGCTTGATGACTCATACAGATTGAGAATATTGGGGAGAGGAGTGGGGGCCTCAGTGAATTTTGGTTGATTATAAGAAAGGTAAGCCATTTAAAGCTGACAACAGAGACCTGAGAGGGACTTATTAACTGTATCGAACATTCTCCCCTTGCTTTCGACCCTGTGTATAGCTATGAGGCCATATTTGATTTATAGCAGCTTCAAGTTGTATTAAATGATATTTTGCTTTCTGTAATACTGTTATAAAATAAAGTTTGTTTATTCTCTAAGCCTGTTGCTTCTCTTTTTATAAAGATCTTAAAAAATAAACTTGAGTGATTTTTTTTTTCAGCAGCAAAAGCCCTAGTATTGTATGGAATGCAGCATTGTGCACTTCTTTTTCAGCTCTGTTTTATAACTTGACAATGGTGCCAGCATCACTGATTTGAAATGGTGAGAGCAGTGTTGAAAGTTTGCAAACTAATGTTCAGCACACTGGATTCTTTCTGCCTGCTTAAATAATACACCCTGGCTACTATATATCCTCCAAGGGATATTTTTGCTTGCTTACTTTGTGTGTTGTTTTGTTTTCAAGAAATATTTTAGTTGTCTCATCTGCATCCTATTTCACATGTCCACTGTGCCTGAATTTGTCAAGCAAACTGGACTCTGCTGAGGGCCATGTCCAAATGTAGTGTGGGAAGCCTTTGTTAAGGCACGTAAGACTGTGGGCTTAATTTTCTTTTAAACATTGTACAGCAAATGGCCATCAGGGTATATTGCATTTTGAAATATTCTCTCTGTAGCCGTTTGAAGTGATTGTGTTAAATATCGTTTGCATAGCTGTCATCTTGGAGATCTGTTCCCACTAAGTTATCTCAACTTGTGAAAGGCCTTTCTCACTTTCTGTGTAATTGTTGCAAAAACAACTCTCTGGAGAAGCCTGTCTCTGCAAGCGAAGCCTTGGAAATATTGTGGAACCAAGTATGATTCTGTAAATACATTTCTCATCACAGATCTTGTAGATGTAACATTTTTATTTAAATCTCAGACCTTCCCAGGGGCTCAAGAGCTGTGTTCTTCTCTCTGTCTAATGAAAGCAACCTGATAGAATGTCTGGCTGGAGCGCCATGACATGAACTAGAAAGTGCCGTGTGCCGTCAGAGCTCACTTTTTCTAGCAGAGACAGCAAGGGCAAGCAAGGACAGCCAGGGGTCCTGGAGGCATGTCCAGGATCTCTGGGGACTTAGCACCCAGAGAAGTATTCTGAGCAGCGTTGGGAATTATTCCTGTGTGTGTATCAGCATGGCTCTCTCACTGAGCATTTTACATTGCAGGTTGTCACTGTCTCCCTGGTAAACAGCTTTCAAAGCCTTTCATGGTAAATAGAGGAGACTGACAAGGTTTTCAGATACAGATTGGAAAAGTTTTCAAATGGTATTTTTAAATTTCTGGTCTATTTGATGGTAATTATAAATAAAAGTTTTTTAATTCATGTTTCCTCCTTTATTCTGTCACCCATAAGCTGAGATAGTGTGCCATGGTATAAATTTGATGGAGACTTGGAGGTCTCTTATAAAAATCTTTGCAAGTCATTGGCAGACCCTCTGACAACCCCCAGTCATCAGATACCTGGCATAGTCAACAACAGAAATGCAAACCTTCACAGCTTTGGGTTCTGTAACATATTCTTTGGTAAATTTTCACAAATAATAGCAGTGTGATGAAAATTAAGTACCCACTGAGTTATTGGAAATACATTTATCTCTAATGGGGAATTCTTTCAGAAAATGGAACATTAGAAATCAGATTTATTTATTTATTTATTTATTTATTTATTTTTTTAAATTTTATTTATTTGTGTGTGTGTGGCCAGCTCAGCCCACCAGGGGGCGGGCTGGCGGGCATGTGGTGCTGGGGGATTGAACCGCGGTCCCTGATGCTTTTGCTAAGCTTGTTCTAAGTAGGTGCTTTAGACCACTGAGCCATCTC